CTGACTCGTTGCCTTTAAGCTACACACATATATTAAATGTAGGCCCTTTATCAGGACAATCCCAGTTGGGACGACAGAGAAAATTTAAAGGGATTTTCCGCCCCTAACCCTCGGGGAAGCATACCTTACGGCCCCTGAAAATCCCCCAGCAAGAAATGGCTGCCTTTGCGAAACGCGAAAATCGCTCTAGTTCTAGCGAACCCCACCCGGATGGTTCACCCATCTACGACCATGGTCGGGTTCGAGAAACAGCGTTTTCATTACTAGAGGTAAATTGCACCCCGATAATGTGTATACGGGTGGCTCTGGTTGCCAGAAAGTGACGAATAAACGGAAAAACGAATCTCGTGCCCGTTTGGGGAAGGTCTCGCCAGCAGGCTACCAAACCCGCCCTCATTGTAATAAATTTGTGCTTTTGAAATGACTCGCCCCAACAATCCTTCGTGAACTCTGAATCATCAGACCATTCGTATCTTTCGTCTAAGTTCAAGCTACTAAAGGAAACAATGAATAACGAAATATGCATTACCTTTCCGATAATTGCCTTCAAGAGCTTATCCTGGGAAGTTCTCATCTGGAAAAAAAACTAATTCTATTAAGCATTAAAGGCTGTCTCATTACCATTAGAAAAGCTCCTCACCTTCGTTCTCTCGAAACCGACCGCGAAGTCACGCCGAAAAAGCGCCGACCAATCGGAAGCCGGCTACCGCGATACGTGATGCAGATTTTCGCGTCTACCGTAGCTTCACGCCAACTTTTTTTAACTTTGTCAATGTATGGAGGTTTGCGAAGCGTCATATATGGTGTGACTACTCCAATAAGGAGTGGGAGGGGGCATGCTGGTGTGATATAATATTTCATTCCGACGAAAGCATCCCAATTTTTACAGTAATTGCGTGAACCACATAACTAACTTTCGTTTTCACATCCACTCCGGAGCTTACTTTCCCTACGAAAATTTGTATAGGCGGCAGTGTTGCACCCCCCTTAAGCTCCTCTTAGCAAGCGCAGAGCTACGCACGGTACTTCCAAAATTTACCGCTTTACTAGCGAATCGCGCGATTCGCAAAGTCTGACATTCGCCTTAAAGGAATCTTGCGCGGAAAAATCATGATTCTATTTCAGCCATAAATCACTGGCTTGAGACTCATTATCCACGATAATAGTGAAAAGAACTGAAGTATTGCTTTCGTTTTGATTAGAAATTCGAAAACTCGAAAAGGCTGCTACGCGTTCGAATTGCCCACGGACGTCTTTCACGAATGCTGGCGACGGGGATGCTCAAACTTGGTTCTTGGAGTGCATTCACTAGAAGCTCTTTCTGGCCTTCTGCTTCGTTGCATTCACATCTTACACTTCTACTCCATCCTATTCCATCGATCGATTTGTCTCCACTCTCCGAAATCGCGCGCTTTAACCCGATTCTCTCATTGCGTCGCCTGGTACGTAGCCGGCCAAACGCCGTCTTCTTTCCATGCCTCGCCTGGCTCTGCCTCCTGGTCCTTCGATGGTCCATAACGTGTAGTTTTTGTACGTTTGTTTCTCTTCAGAAACCGAATCTTCATGCGTGAAACTTTGTGTGCTATTTCCAGTGATCACAACTGACATATTCATGTTAGGAAAGAGTGCAAGAATTTTCCGCGCAAGATTCCTTTAAACCGACAGAATCCAACTACCGATACATTATACGTATCTAATACTCAGCTGCTATCATTCCCACAGGGTAGGGGAACAAAAACTCTCCATGAATTTATTTGTTTTCAACGACATAGTTTTCTGACTTATAGCACATGCTTACTTTTACATACAAATGCCTTCCAAACAGGGTCAACCCTATGTTGCGCAAGACTACGGAGGGTCATACCTTGTTCAGTTTGTAGGGGGGGGGGTTGTAATCGCTTTAGCCTCGTGAATTCATATGTGAAACTGGAGTGTGGATAATTGGCTGGGTGAGTTCAGGCGCGCAGTGTGAGCAACGGGAAAAAATTTTCTTCCCCTCCCCGCTCGGCGGCTGTCTTGGGAAAAGGGAAAAGTGGGTGGAGTTTGGTGTGCCGGCTGGTCTCAGAGTTAAATACTATAGAAACAGCCACCATGATGGCGAGAGTGGGGGGTCGTAAAAAAATTTCCGAAAAGTACCAACGGGTTAGGGTCGACCCTGCTTCCAAATAGGCCTTTTCCCACGGTCAGCGCGATTCCGGTTGGAAAAACTAGGAAATTCGAAGGGTTTCCCGCCCCCCCCCCCTAGGTGGAAATATAGCAAATAGCCTCTGGTTGGAAATATGTCTCGGGTCTATGTTGCCAAAGGGGCAGGTGGCGCAATACTTCACGCCGTCTATAGGAATCCTAAGTTTATTTGAGGAAGTGGGGGGCGGGGGGGGGAGGACGAATCTTCGAGCGGTTCAGAACAAAAACGGTCCATGCATCCCGCAGCTTACCTCCTGCAAGAATCGGGGTTACTGCTAATGGCACGCATGGTGCACCACATGCTCTACTTCCCTCATAGGTATAGCGCACAAATTTTCGATAATTTCCCTATTTGTAAAAACCTGAGCAGCAAGCAGTGGTGGTGCTACTGTATGAGGGAGGGGTGGGGCAGTCGTCGCTTGCTTGCCCCTTCTCATCGTTATAGGGACAGCATTAGTGCGAAACGAGGACATCGTGATCCAGAGGGATGTAGATCATTCAAGAGGAGGGGAGGATGAGTCATTCCACAGGCGTAAGAGCCGGAATGTGCGAGTCTATACTTGATCGCAGAGGGGAGCCAGACGTGCTGCGCTCCACGGCAGCGACTGTCCCCCTCCTGCTCGCTCGCCTTGAACTACAGTAGCACATCAACCTGGTGATCACATATGAACGCACGCGTGTTCCTGTAGAGCGTGGTTCCTGTAGGCAAGAGAAAAAGCTAGTGCTCTCATTGCGGGAATATCATACAGGCGTGCTGCTTCAGGCCGATGTCAGACTTTGCGAATCGCGCGATTCGCTAGCGTCTGCGGTCGCGTCACGGCCAGCGAATCACTCAATTGGCTGGTACCGCAACGCGACCGCGGACGCTAGCGATCGCGTGATTCGCAAAGTCTGACATCGGCTCCACGATTGCTTTAACGAGTCAATTTGACGAATCGACCGTAATGACCATTGCACTTGGCGGCAAGTTGAATCGAGCACCTTTGCGATCAGTGCTAGTTCCTTCCAAGCTCACCTAATTCAACTTCGTGCTACACTCTGCCTTTTGAAGCGGGGTTCTTTGTAGAGTTGGCGCGTCATGCAGTGCGCAGGGAAGAAAAAAGGGCACGTTGAAATAAAACCGACTATATGTAACATTGCGGGCGTCACCGCCAATGTGGGCAGCTGGCTCTCAGCTGACCTTGGTGAAAAAATGTTCTCGAAAAAATGTTCTTGAAGAATTCGTCCCTTGAGTTCAGAGCCAAAATTAATCTGTGAGTGGTGCACTAGCTTTTCCCACACATCCGTTGCCCAGATATTCAAACGAGCCTTCGAAACTTGTTAAGAGAAGTTCCAGAACTTCCCCTAGCTGTATGCTCCCCTTCGAAAAAAAAAAAAACGTGGAGAGCGTCGGGTGTAGATCATACACCACAAGTGACGACGGCCTCCAGAAAATGTAAATGTTTTCTGCCAATGAAATGATTTTGTTGCAGTTGTATCAGTTGTCACTAATTACAACTATCATTTACCAAAAATCAGCTATCACTATGAACCACTACTAACCAGATTTACTTGGAGGCCGTCGTCACTTGTGGTGTATGGTCTGCACCCGACGCTCTCTCGTTTTTTGAAAGATAGGGTACATGTACCGGCAAATTGCGGTGAGGCAATTCTGATGGCTCTCATAGCCAATCACGACATATCCTCTATTTCGGAAACGAGAAGAGTGTCGAGTGCAGACCACACACCACAAGTGACGACGGCCAAGAAAAAAGAAAAAAGCCACTTTTTCTTGGCCGTCGTCACTTGTGGTGTGTGGTCTGCACGATCATTTTCCGAAATAGAATGTAGAATGACATATTCATGGTTTCTTATTCTGCCAAGGCTCCATTCAAAGTTAATTTCTATCCAACTTTATTTACGTAACACAAAAATCACTCATATCCGACATTAGCATTAACAACATGTTAACCATATATAAAACAACGATCAATGCGAAATACACTAATACGAACTATTGTAGAAGATTGTGAAAAAAGGCCTATTGATGGTGAGAATACTTGCAGAAAGTTGACGTCTACAATCCCTTGAGATATCCTTCAGCACGGGACCGTCGCTTTTCTCTAATCATGAGCATCTTCTTGATGTCACCAGAAAGAAAACGAATGAGGCGAGTTTGGAGGATGTCCTTTCGAAGATTGTATCCTTTCTTACGTCGACTTTGGCCTCGTCGTTTCCGAAGTGCCAGATCCAGGATTCGAGACAGCATTTCTTCACGTGTCATGTCGTCTTCCAACTGAAGCGGAATTTGTAAAATTATACGTGAATTGAAAAGTAAGGAAATAAGAATTTCTTTCAGATGAGCCAGATGTGATTTCAGTTTTACAAAATTCCTTCTTACAAAAGAAAAGTTTTATACTCATCATTTTAAAGGGAACAAAAACAGTAGGAAACAACAGGAAACAACAACAAAGAAACAACAAAACAAGAAAGTTTAACAAAAAGGTCGATTATGTCAAATTAATCCAATCTAAGAGGGAATTGTAAAACTTCAAGTAGCAGTAATTTAATTGCAATTGCGCTAAATTTGATTCTTCTCCTTAATTCCAAAAAGCTAACAAACCTCATCTTCTGACGAATCACTTGAGTCCTCTGAACAGACTCCATGCGGATCCAATGGTCTCCGCGACTCGGAATGGAAGACGAATGCGTGGAGCATCCTGAACTGGTTATGTTTGGTTGAAAAATCATCTACATGTTAGAATACGGTTACTACAACTTCTGTG